AGAAAAAGCCGCAGCCTTTAGTCAACTCTCAGCCCCCACCATCACTGCTCATTGCCCCTGTAGCTCTGATGTCACAGCTAATTGTGGTTTAGCTGATCTCATTAAAGGTATTAGTTTGAAAGATTGCATGACACTAGGCAGGTAATATTCTATGTCTGTAGAACTGTAATAGCAGCTGAGCTGCAATTTTTCTGCACAAGATTAATCATCTTTATCTCATGGCCCTTTATGCACATACACAGGAATGCGGTAGTGCACTGACCATGCAACAGATTTTGTTACATAATGTGCCATAACCTTATAATGCCACCCACCTTCCTCAGTTTAACATAGAAACCACATGTGTGTGTTTTCAGATAAATGCGTCCAGTTCAGTTCAAATTAATTTTTCTTTTTTGTATGTGTGTATTTAAGGTGGTCTCCAGATAAAGCGTGTTTTTTTTTTTTTTTTTTTTTTGGTTTTTTTTTTTTTGGTTTTTTTTTTTTAATGTGTTTATCTTAATCGTATAGGACACAAAGTATTCATAGACCTTGGGTGATAGGCTCATACCTTCATGTGACTGAGCACTGGCAAAACAATTGAGGACACAGCTAAAACAAAGTTGCTGCTTCTCTTTCTGGTCACACCCCGTATTCTGCACCATGAGTATCCCATAGAGGAATACCCTCCTCAGCACATTTTTCACCTCATCAGCATGTTCTGCATACTTTCTGAATAGAAAATCTCTTCCAGGTTGACATACAGCCCTTTGCTCCCAGAGTGTTCACAAAGGTTCTAGCACTACTTTTTGTCCTTTCGCAGAACTCAGGACATCCAGCTCACCGGCTATATATAGATGACCTTTTCCTGAAGGACTCTCTTCCAACTGCAATAAACTCCCACACGGCCATACAGATGCTCCAGACTTTCAGTTGGGTGATCAATTAAAAAATAAACAAGAAAATTTCCCTGCAGACTTCTATTCCCCTGGAATACTTGGGTCTGGTCCTAGACGCATCCCAAGTAAAGATTTTTCTTTCAGAAGAGAAAAATAATTTTCTCGCCAACATGTGCCCAATTTCTGATCTCTCCATTGCAACAACTTGTGAACCTAGAACAAGTTTGTTCCTTCTCTTGACCCACCCATGCTCCTGTCCAGCCAAGCAAGGTATTTCCTATCTTTGTGTAGGTCAAGCCAGGCCCTAACCAAGTCTCTTTAGGGATTCCCCCCCCCCCCCCCCCCCCCGGTCACTTGAAAGTGGTAACAGATGCTAGTCTTTCAGGCTGGGGAGAAGTGTTCCAGTCCCTCAGCAGTCCAGGGAATGAAACATGGTTATCTATGGAAGCCTAGCTCCCCATCAACATCCTGGAGCTGAGAACAGTTCATGTGGCTCTGCAACATTGGCTTCCCCATTCTGCAGGGGCACCCAATCCGGGTTTGACTTACATCAACCATCAAAGGAGTACCAGGAGTCTTGCAGCCTAGAAGGAAGCAAACCAGATATACTCATGGATGGAAACTCGCTGCCCAGCAATAACTGTGGTCCACATCCCAGGAGTGGAAAACTGAAAAGCAGATTACCACTGCCTCGATCAATAGGAATGGATCCTTCACCCAGATAGCTTCAATTTGATATGTCAGAAGTGGGGGAATCTGGGTGTAGACATCCTAGTTTCCAGATTCAACCACAAACTACCACTGTTTATAACCAGGACCAAGAATCTACTAGTGCTAGCTTCAGATGCCTTGATAATTTTCTGGTCTCAGTTCAGGTTAACATAGACCATTCCTCCTGTGTGAATTCTGCCTCGCCTTCTCAAAAAAGAGCAAGAGAGGAAATGTGATTGTCATTGAACCAAACTGTTCCAGAAGAACCTGGCACACAGACATGCTCAGACTTCTAGCAGACAACCCCTGGCCTCTTTTCCTAGTAGGCCAGATCTGCTATTTCTATGCCCTCTATTCCATCCTGTTTCTAGGTTTCTGGCTTTAACGGCATGGCTGTCGAAGTCCAGGTCTTAAGATAGAGGCATCTGAGTCTGCGATTCATACCTTGATAGCAAGAATACTACTTCCAGGAAGACCTACTATTGTTCCTGGAAGTCATTTCCTGGAGTGACCAGACATTTCAGTCTCTGTGCTGCGCATTCTGGCCTTCCTGCAATTGGGTCTTGACAAAAACCTGGCCCTAAGCACTATAAAAAGAACAAGTCTTGACCTTGTCCATTTTCTTTTAAATGCCTTTGGCTTTGCTCTCTTGAAAAAACCTTCAAGGTGTGTCTCGTATTAAGCCCCCCTTGCTGCACTCTGAGCTTCCTTGGGATCTCAATTTGATTCTCCTTTCCATGCATAAACCACAATTTGAACCCATCACACATTCCCTTAAAGGATATCTTCTGCAAAGTAGCATTTTTGTTTGCCACCATGTCCGTTTTAGTTGATTGCCCCCATACTTTTTTCTTCACAAAGACATGGTTGTCTTACACCCAAGATCATCCTTTGCTAAGATTGTATCAGTCTTCCACCTCAATGAGGAAAGACCCCTTCAATCAATTAAATTCTCAAGGACAGCTCTCTTGCGCTTTTACGTGCCCATTCCACCAGATCATTGGAAGTTCCTGGGCATTTCAGCACCAGGCCCCTGTAGCCCAGCTGTGTAAGGCTGCAGTCATTTCTACTAGGTGGATGTCCAATGTTCTGTGTATGAAGCTTTTGAAAGGTTTATGCAACAGTGCTCAGAAGTTGGATCTTTTTGAGTCTTGTTGTAGGGCCTTTTGGCACCATTCTGTTTGCCTAATTCCTGCCCACCATTCTCATTAATTGCTTGGGGAAATCCCAGGGTCTTTGAATACTTCTCCCATGTCCTGTACTGTATGATTGAGATACGGAGTTCTAACTTGCCTGAAGTTTCCTTATCTTGGAGTACAGGACACAGGCCAACCTTCCTTGGTTGTTCTGCATTGCTTGCTACAAAACTGAGGACTCAGAGTAGTTTAGGGTTATAGGAAAGGCATCCAGGGAATGTTTCCTCCAAAAGCTTTGCCAGTGTCCAATCACCTGAAGGTACAGTTTTATAAACCAGGGTCTATGAATACTTTGCCTATGTCCTGTGCTTTACTCTAAGATATTGAATTTACATGTTAAATTCCTCTGTTTGCTTTCATCCCACTGTGAAAGCTTTCAATGGCAAGTACAGCACCAAAGTATTGTGTATGTAGCTGAAAATCCACAACTGCAGGAACCTTTTTTCATTTAAATTGTATTGTTGTTTTTGTCATAGGATAAGTCTTTTTATTTACATGACATTGCTTCCTTTTCATTAATTGTGGTTCCATATTTAACAAAAATTTGTATGGAAGATCTCCATATTACCACATATGGCACCTGCATCCTAGCAACAATGGGACACTAGATGTTTTCTGCTGAGTTCACCTTAGCAACACAAGGACACTAAGCGGTTTCCTTCAGAAGCCACCTGCATCTTGGCAACAAAAGGGCGTTAGGCTGCAGAAGCCATGTGCACCCTAGCAAACAGAAGGGAGCTAGGTGACAGAAGGATCATCTTCCTTCAGAGGCTTCCTGTGACCTTGCAAGAAAGGTGCAAGAAGTCACCTGTGTCCTAGCAACAGACGGCATTTGTGCTGTAATGCAGCACATGTAAAAGTAGCTTAAACATAACATTTGTACAAAGCACATTTTACGCAGGATCTTACTGTCTGATTCTGCCAGCAAGATCCTGTACACTAGTTGGCTTTTTTTTTTTTTTTTTTTTCATATGACCAAGTTCATGTACCCTAAAGGGAACCATGCTGCATGAAGGTGATAATTGTGACACACTCCAATAGCATACAAATGACTGCATGTTGGGTGTCTGTATTGCAAGAAATGGGACAGGCTGAAGCATTTTGTCCAGTTCTGCATTCATTTTTCTTATAAAGCAGAGGAAGAGACAACTCAGCACTTTCTGCTTACTTCAATTTTCTGCTTACTAGCCACTAAGGAGATGTATTCATCAGTGCAATATTGCCCCTTCATTGTCCACTCACAGGTTGGAATAGGTTCTTTACCGTTTTTTGAGATGTTCTGCCATCTTTGTGTGTTGTGTTCCTTGAGTTCTGCTTTTAACATCCCTAAAAAGATGGGTTACTTGTTACGCTACTGGGTTATCACCAATTCCAGTGTGAATGCAAAAAAAAAATCATATACTAACCAATTCTTTACACAAAGCATGATTACCCCAACAAATCATAAAACTGAAACCTATAAAGATAAGTGTAAATTCCACGCTACCCTCACCCCCACAAAAAATATTTTGTGTATCAAAGAATATTGATTACCCTTGTATTCTCACCCAAGCTATGTAAATTTATTGAGGGTGCTACTTGCATATAAATGCATTCCCGCACTGTGTATGAAATGGTGGTGTATACTTATGCAGCGCTCCCTTGTGAAAACCAAACTAAATGTTAAGCTGAAAATGTATTCACCAATACATGCATAGATATGAATTAATCCAAATACCCAACCTTATGTATAAATAAACACAAATCAATATAGTTATTTCATAAATTAGTCCATAGAGGATGCCACACTAAGTGCTAATAGTCCCCAGTATATGTTGATAAACGGATAATGTCTTTTTTTCACTTTGTGCTCAGTAGTTACAGCAATTACACCAGCATGCAAGTGGATTAAAAACTGAAACCTAGATAGCAGCTGTGCTACTTTATTCTTCAGTCTTAAAAGCAATGGTATTTGCCAAAATCATAAAATACCAACCAGTTTAATATTTTCTGGAACCCAAAGTGTGTGAGGGGACAATAGTTTCTGAATTATCACATCCCTTCATGTATGGCCACTCGGTAGCAGATGCACAATGTGATGATTAAGAATTTAAGGTATGATCTGGGAAAATGCCATAAATTGTATGCTTTCATTTGAACTTCATTTCCAGGTAAAATATTTTTGTCTTTGATCACATGTGGTGAGGTCTGTCTGACATGTTTGCTTTGCCTGCAGCGATTTGGAATCAAGGAGAGAAGTAAAGAAAGAAGAAGGAGAAGCATTTGCCAGGGAACACGGCCTTATTTTTATGGAGACCTCAGCAAAGACTGCCTCAAACGTGGAGGAGGTAACATCCAGTACTTTCTGTTCTCTTATGGTGCTGCTGTAGCAAGGTCAACTAATACAGGGATATTGAATGAAAAGTACTAATATATTATTATTTAGTGGTCAGTGGAGCAGATTACTATATACCCCAGTTTTTTTTTTCTGTTGTGACTTCTTTGGAGTACATGAGGCTTTATTCCTAAACACAGAAGTATACAGCCATCTGCCGGAGGTTAAGACTGCAAATCAAGAGGGACAGGCGTTCTCAAGAGTGTCAGAATACTTTGCTTATGAATTTTGATCCTTTTTGCCTTTGGCATTATATTAATATTGAATTATTTAAAATAAGTATGTAAGCTGTTTTGGTAAATAGTTGTACAGTGTACGTTCAAGAGAACACAGTACATAAAACAACTTTTTACTGCCAAACCAGAGCCATGACACTGCAAGTATACTGCATGGTAATGTCCTAGGGCAGTGGTGGGCAACCTTTTTTTTCAACTGAGCCAAATCTCGCCAAAACCACGATTGAAATTTATTTTGAGAGCCACATTTTTAAAACTGAAAATACATAGGATGGTACACTGTTTTTAGTTTCAATAAGTTTTTATAGTAATTCATCCCCCATAGTAATTCATCCCCCATATAGTAATTCATCCCCCATATAGTAATTCATCCCCCATATAGTAATTCATCCCCTATATAGTAATTCATCCCCCATATTCATCCCTCATATAGTAGTAGTAAGTAAGTAGCAAGTAGTAAGCCAAGTCCCTCCTGTGTCAATTCACTTACCTTTGCCCTGCGCGTTCCTCTCGCCGTGTTCCCCGCGCCGTTCCGGTCTTCAGGGCGGACTGTGAGAGGAGCCTAGCTCCCCTCACGTTCGTCACGCTGCCCCACCTACACACATCCTGACAGCCAATCACTAGCTATCAGGATGTGAGTGGCAGCGAGACTAGCCAATCATTGCTGGGCTAGCTGCAGAGTCCTCGGCTGCCCGAGAGGAGGGAGGGGAGCAGGCGCCCGGCACACAGAAGAGCCGCATTAAAATGTGTAAAGAGCCGCATGTGGCTCGCGAGCCGCGGCTTGCCGACCACTGTCCTAGGGAAAAGTAGTTTGTATATACACTATATTGACAAAAGTATTGGGATGCCTGCCTGTACACGCACATGAACTTTAGTGGCATCCCAGTCTTCGTTCGTAGGGTTCAATATTGAGTTGGCCCACCCTTTGCAGCTATAACAGCTTCAACTCTTTTGGGAAGGCTGTCCACAAGGTTTAGGAGTGTGTCTATGGGAATGTTTGATCCTCCTTCCAGAAGCAGATTTGTGAGGTCAGGTACTGATGTCGAACAAGAAGGCCTGGCTCACAATCTCTGCTCTAATTCATCCCAAAGGTGTTCTATCGTGTTGAGGTCAGGACTCTGCAGTCAAGTTCCTCCACCACAAACTCTCTCATCCTTGTCTTTTATGGACCTTGCTTTGTGCTCTGGTGCACAGTCATGTTAGAACGGGAAGGGGCCATCCCCAAACTGTTCCCACAAAGTTGGGAGCATTAAATTGTCCAAAATGTTTTGGTATGCTGATGCCTTAAGAGTTCCCTTCACTGGAACTAAGGGGCCAAGCCCAACCCCTGAAAAACGACCCCACACCATAATCCCCCTCCACCAAACTTTACACTTGGCACAACTTTTTGTTTCTTTAAAATTGTGTTCTAAGACAGCACAGTCAAATCATCAACTTGCATTGCCACAGCAGCATGGCTGGAGCAGACACAGAATGCTAGTTCCATAGTACAGCAGCAAAGGAATAAGCTCATCTTATGCTCTCCTATTGCATTTCCTTCCTCTTCGTACATGTGCATACTGCCAGTCCCAGTTGGCTCACTGTGCTGGCCTTCTCTCTCCCAGTCCTGAGTACTGCTGTGCAGAGAACTACATCAGGCAGATATTACATCAAATTCTGCATTTATAAAAATTATTTGTAAAATACATAACCCTATCAGATATCTGCCTGAACATCAGGGTTTAAGTGGCATCCTCAGGAAAAGCCTTTGTTATTAAAGCGGAACTACATTGCATCTGAGCACCACATACCAAAAACTATATTTGAATAATTTAATATCCAAAGAAAACTAATCCAGCCATGTCTCCAAGCTTTATTTTGTGGATAAATCACCACCCTAGCATTTCTGGCCATGGCCTTCTTGAGTAAAGGCAGGTGATTCTTGCAGCATTTACTTCCTGGAATCCATCTGCCCTTAGCTCAGGCATGAATGCAGGAAAGTGTGCTTATCTGAGAGAACCTCCTTTTCCCCTCCTCTCCTCCTGAAGACTCCTGGGATGTATGACATCATTTGCCTATGCAAAAAAAAACCATTAAGTAACTTAATGATTAAAAAAAAAAGTTTAAAACATGTCAGTATAATATACTTTACTGTTTACTAATGCTAGCAGCATAAGGATTAAAAAAGTCAATGTTGATTTAGAGAGTGAAGTTCCACTTAAAAGAAAAAAAACACACTTTAAAGTATAATGGACATGCACCTACCTGCAGTAGATTTCATTGCCCTCTTTATGCCTGAAGGCTTGGGCATTTAGTGGTAATAATGAAGCCTGCCTTTCCCCTTCCAACTCCACCCTGGAAATTGTGGTGTTTAGAGTTTATAGTTTCTCTTTTAATGTGTTTTGATGTGTGAGACCTGCTGACTTTGAATTCATTAATATAGACACAGAATGTTTTATGCTGTGTCTATCCTTTGGCATCAATCAAGGTCAAAATATAGAATTAGGTAACCCTAGTGTGTTTGGTCTGTTCTTCTTTTTGGTAAAAACCAGGGTCAGAATTTCATACTAGCCCAGTGAAATGCTCACATTTATTACCAAGATTCCTATATAATGGTTGTGGTTTCTGCATGTAGGACACCACCATGTCCAATTTTATTACCAGTATTGTATTATAGTGCTTGGTCTCCTTTAAAATGAAGATGTTCTGTATGTGGCCTTGATCAAATTGGGAACATATATTGTACTAGACAAAAATGCGTTTAGATATTTTAAAATTACAGAAATAATTAAGAAGAGCTATGCTTAATTGCAAGTGGCATCCCATTAATTAGCTACTCAGAAACTTTCCGCTTCCTTACCTTTTAATTTTTTTTTTTTTTCTCTTTTTTTGCTCTCTCGCTACAAGGGAGGTTTGGGAGGGAATGTGGAGAAAGTCAGCCAGCTTAGCAGGATCCCCCATCAACATGACAGCTGAAGATTAATTAGCAGTTCAGTAATAATGGAGATACATCTTCTCACCAAGCTTTAGCTTTCGATAGCAGATTTATCACTAGAGCAAAAACAGCAGGGGGGTCACTACAGCAGTTATGTGAAAATGTGCAGGGGTCACTTGGACTTTCAAAATGGCATCTTGAAGTACATTGTACAGTGCCTACATTTCTTCCTGGTAGTATTTGTGAGATGGTAACATTGATGTGGGACACAATCTTTTAGATTTTATCATCAGGTATGCACTATGATCCAGCAGCAGTTGTATTAGTTTTGACTGCATATAATATGCCTAGCATCTTCTTACTCCAAATTTCATTGTCTGCATTTATACTTAAATTAGTCAATTTCTTAGGCTTGATTCAGAGCTATGCATGTCAGGAACATGCACAAAATAATGCGCTGTCCCGAAACTGTATAGCAGAGGCGCAGGGGTGCCATTAATTTATTTAACCATGCGGTTCGGTGCAGTGCGATTATACAAAAGGGTTTGGAACTTCTTTTCTCACAGGTAGGGCTGCCCATTGAAATTAACAGGCTGTCCTAGACGTAGCACTCATAGATACAGTATGAACCAGGCCTTAAAGCACAACTGAACTTAGTTTAAACTAGCTAAATATATTCCAGGTGCTTCCTGTCCAAAGATGCACAACCGCTTACAGTTTTTCTTTCTTATCCACAGCCTGAGTAGAAAAGCCTGTCACCTAGCAGGATGCTGCAGAGTGGCAACCTTGCTTTCTGTAGGGAAGCAGTGGTGTTATTGTAGAAGTCCAACATGACAACTAGAGCTCCCTCAGTACAGATCATGAGTTTTGCTGTTTGCAAAGCTATAGGGCAGCCTCTGTAGGGGGCCTGTCGGACCTAAGTAATAAAACAACTGATTTTGACAGAGAACAAGGGTCACACTCTGCAGTTGACAGGGGCAATGGGATTTTCTACTCAGGCTATGGCTGCTTTAGAAAAAACTGTAAGGCAGTGAAAACTTTTTTGTATTGATGTACCTAGACTGTATTTAATGGATTTAAACTGTTCGGTTGGGTTTTATTGTGAACTCCAGCCTTGTTTTGGCATAAGTATATTTCCCTTAAAGTGTAGTAAAATGTTTTGTGGCTGTATGATTTCTGCTGATGGTTGGGATCAGTTGGTCTGAACTTTAATGCTCCCCATCAAGTGTGTTTCTAGCCAAAACTTTAATTCAGATTGGGGAAGGATTAGAACATCTGTCTAGTTTATATTGCTCTCCAAGGCTCTGCTACAAGGACTTGCTGTTGTGGTAACAATGGTTTCCAGACAGGTAGTGAGGGGAAAAAACCTGCTTGTATTGTGGTTGGAGACCTTTCATCAATTCCTTTCTGGTAAAACTGTTGTCACTGGGAAAGTAAATGAGGGAAAATCTTCTCTGTGGAGCCCCTATTAGCATTAAAATCTGGTGGGGTTCTGAGCATCCTTCCCCACTCCTATCTAAAATGAAGAAAATTAGTCTTTTGGTTTGACACACTTTAAAGTCTACCTGCAGCCAAGCTTTTTTATTTTAGTTTTGGAATGAGTAGGAGAAGGGTTAAAACGTCTGGTAGGTTTATTTTTTTGACTCCCCTGGGGATCTTTCAAGGCTCATTATGATAGAAAGACACAGATAACAATAACCTCACAGTGGTTGAAAAACTTCCAGCTACCAAAAAAAAGGGGTGTCTATCCCCATTTTAGAGGGTTTTTCCTCATTTGTTGGGGTTAGGAAATGAAGTAAAATATTCCCAAGAGACAGATCAGAAAAACCTATTTATTATTATTAC